GTAGCCAGACTAAGGATGCTAGATAAGCATTGCACAGTGTTGCCACATCTCGCATAACATGCCAGCCACTGTACCAGGTATAAGTACAAGCGAGTGTACAGCCCCCTTCACTAGTGTGTTTACAAGGGCTCGTCATATAAACATTCCACAAATCATTACATTAAGATATTTGTTTTAATATTGTTTTACTTTGATTTGTTTACTGTTGAATGTAAACAAACACAACCCTGCCACATTGCACAAAACCTGACGAGTCCCTGTAAACACACTAGTGAAGGGGACTGAACATCTGTTTATCATCTGTTCTTAAGCGTCATATATCTTAGTTGTACGCTTGTTAACCTCGATCCCACCTACAAGAACATGAATATAAATCCGGTTGGGAATACATCAGTTGTGTTATTGATTTACAGTTAGAACAGGATATTGAGTCTCTCATAATGGAACCTGATGACCAAGGCCCCGTGGCTCCTGTTAGCACACTAGGCTGCCTACAACCAGCATTTGTATTGTTTCTGTTTACCGAGACATTTGCACTGACTTGTCGATATTATCATCATTATCAGTGGCCACAGTTAGTCCTCACAAACAACCATCAGTGGTCACAGTCCTCACCAACAACCATCAGTGGCCACAGTTAGTCCTCACCAACAACTATCAGTGGTCACAGTTAGTCCTCACAAACAACCATCAGTGGCCACAGTTAGTCCTCACCAACAACTATCAGTGGCCACAGTTAGTCCTCACCAACAACCATCAGTGGCCACAGTTAGTCCTCACCAACAACTATCAGTGGCCACAGTTAGTCCTCACAAACAACTATCAGTGGCCACAGTTAGTCCTCACCAACAACTATCAGTGGCCACAGTTAGTCCTCACAAACAACTATCAGTGGTCACAGGTAGTCCTCACCAACAACTATCAGTGGCCACAGTTAGTCCTCACCAACAACTATCAGTGGCCACAGTTAGTCCTCACCAACAACTATCAGTGGCCACAGTTAGTCCTCACCAACAACCATCAGTGGCCACAGTTAGTCCTCACCAACAACTATCAGTGGCCACAGTTAGTCCTCACCAACAACCATCACCCTGTCATTCGGCTGAGTTAAGCAACAAAGTGCCAGAATATTGTGTATCAGGTAGTAAAGTATCCCCCATGTACAGTCACTCCAAAAAACTATCTGTACTCGGGGTGATCGATGAATTCCACAATGAACACTATGACTCCTGTTGTCTCGGTAGGGTTGTCAAAATCCTTCGTCTGTTGTGTTATATTGTCTCACATAATTTTAGTAAAGATAGTTTTTTTTGAGTGATTGTATATACATAAATAACATAATTTTAGGGATGAAAATTAAAAAAATAAATAAATTTCAATAATATCCCTGACACATTATGGTATATCAGAGGTGTACTGTACGTGGTAGATACTTGTGTATACGTGACCATAACACCAGCTGGTATCACAACACACACACAGTCGTGAGTAATATTCACCAAGAGGCTTAGAAATGTTTAACGTGTCCTAGTTTGTGTTCGCGGTACAGTCAGGACATTGTCAGGAGAGTGTCTGTATGTTCGAGTTACTTATATAAACATTAACCTCTTGTGTACATGGGTCGCCTCACTAACGTTAACTAAATAAACGATTAAAAGCGGCGTCCCGTAGTGAAGGTGTTAAACTCTTTAACTACCTGGCATAACTAACCTAACCTACAACCTTCCCCACCTACCCCCCGCATGCAGGTTGACCCATATCAGTTTTGGAATTAGCATAGATCCTAATATCAAAATCTGTGGAACAAGTCGTGGTGATCGTAATGGTTTGACTTGTTATAAAGAGTGACAATGATGAGGTGTAGTCCAGGGGTAGGGTAGTGAGTGTGACACAGCAGTAAGGTCATGTTTAGCTAAGATATACTAAGTGGTGGGAGGTGTGTTGTGGTGCCCGGCTGTGTTGGCTGGGCCTCTTTGTGTGAAGAAAGAGGGATGATTTTTGAGTGAGTTTAGTTATTATTAAAACCTTTAGAGGTACCTGGTATAACATGGCATTATACTTGTAAGATAACATTACCCGCCTGAGGACCGTCAGCCACCCACCAGGAACAGCGCGCGTCAACGTTACAAATATTGACAGATCTGGTAACGTTGTATCGTACGAGGGAAATCTTGAATAAAATCAACCATCTGAAAGTTAAAATACATTTGAACTGTTTTTTTTTAATTGTCGTTATATTTATCACAGATAATATTAGTGTAACAAGAAACCTTTGTTGTTCTTAGCGATGTATTGAAAGAAACTAAACTTCGGTTATATAACATATAAGTTCTTGATTCTATAAATTTAAAATAACTCAACATAAAATCTGTTTCTAGCAAAATGAAGGACAAATTTGAGGGTTATATGGCGCCCCCTGAGCGAGCGAGTACTGTACCAACCTACACCTGGAAGCTGGTATTAATTAAGGTGTATGGCCCACCTTCCCACCAACACGGTTCTCACACTAGTTGTAGCGTTACGGTAATCCTCATCACTGTGTCCACACGGCGGTAATCGTGTTCACAACCTGTACAGTACACACGGTAAACAAGGCGTCTTCCCTGATGAATCTAATGAATTTCGAAATGATCAATACGACTCCTGTTGTCTCGGTAGGGTTGTCAAAATCCTTCGCCCATTGTGTCATATTTTTTCTACACAATTATGTATACTTTTTTTTGTGACTTTACTTGTTTAACTCTTAGCCTCGATCTTCTGAGTGAACTTGGGTCTTGCCTTAACCTAACCTAACCTGACCTGACCTGACCTGACCTAACCTAACCTAACCTCTATACCCGTAACACCGAGACATTATCCACCTGTTCAACTACTGTGTCTGTGTGTGTGTGTTTGTGTGTATTTATATGTGTGTGTGTGTGTGTGTATACGTTTGTTTAGCAATAATAAGTAAATTTGCTGATGAAACTAAAATAGGGAGTGTAATTAAATCTGACGAGGACTCCGCAAAACTACAGGAAGATCTAAACAAATTTTTCGAATGGTCTGAAAAATGGCAGATGAAACTTAATGTGGGCAAATGTAAAGTACTCAGTCTAGGAGATGTAACAGAGAAACCTGATACCAGACGAACAACGATGTTATAGAGAAATCCGAATGTGAGAAAGATTTAGAAGTAATGATAAGTAGGAATCTTAAACCAAGTAAACAATGTTTATTTGCCCGAAAAAAGGCTAATAAAGTACTTAGGTTCATACAAAGGAGTGTTAGTTACAAGACTAGCGAGGTCATCCTAAAACTATATCTTGCGCTTGTGAGACCTCACTTGGATTACGCAGTTCAGTTCTGGTCACCGTATTACAGAATGGATATAGAATATCTAGAAAGCATTCAGAGGAGAATGACAAGACTAATCCCGGGCATTAGGAACCTTGAATACAGAGACAGGTTAAAGCATCTTAATTTGCACTCCCTCGAGAGACGTAGAGTGAGGGGCGATATGATAGAGGTGTGTAAATGGAAGTCAGGGCTAAACAAAGGTGATATAACAAAGGTACTCAAACTATCCAACCAGGAGAGAACTCGTAACAGTGGTTTTAAATTAGACAAATTTAGTTTTAGGCGCGAGATAGGTAAACATTGGTTTGGAAGTAGAGTAGTGGATGAGTGGAGCAAGTTACCAAACATCATCATTAACTCTAATACACTGGATAGCTTCAAACACAGGTTGGGTGGATATATGAGCGGTGTAAACGGGACTGCCCAGTATGGGCCAGTCTCCCCCATTCTTATGTTCTTACGTGTGTATGTGTTTGTTTGATTGTGCGTATTTAATAATAATAATAATAAACGGTTTGTTAATATAGTTGCAGCCGGTGTGTGTGATAATAATAATAATAATAATAATAATAATTAATGGTTTATTGAAAGAGCATGGCAGCCGGAAGGCTGAAAGTATACTGTTACATAATTGGGGAATGGGTCTCTTGATTGACAAATAATATACAAGTAACATAAGTGATACAAATATGATATATAATAACTAGGTGAGAAGGTGCGCGCGCGTGTGGTTGGCCTGGCCACACGTTCATTAGTATACCCGAAATATCCATCTGAATATTAATAATCAGTTCATTATAGTTGAGGAATACCGGTAGTTGGCCGCCTAGAGTGTGAGATGGACCGCACAAGAACAGACCTGAAGCATCGCCGTCAAAAACCAGTTGAGGTGCTTGATATAACGATACTAGTGTTAGGGAACCAGTCAGGAACCTACCAGACGGGGTTTACTGTAAGTGGTACATTACCTACTCAATAGATGGCGCTGATCATGTGATGAAACACGAACGAATTATTGATAATATTATTTAGCTTTTATCACCTTAGATTTTTTGTCGACGGAGATATTTTGCATGAGTTTAGTATGAAAGATGTGCAGTAGCCGATACTGTACTGTGATTGGCCGTCTTATGCAGTTCCCTACACCATGCATATACTGTAAGCAGGACGATGTACCTTAAGTAGTTATATATATATTTTACATTTTTTTTATTTTGTTCTCTGAAAGTAACATTAGTTTTCTGTTTATTATTTTTTTCCTTTTTTATCCTGATATTTTGAACTGAATTACACGCATAAAATGTTAACAGTGAGGGTCGGAAGTGACAATACACGAATTGAATTCATCATAATATATTGTTGATTGGGAATGGAAGTGCATCTCTGGCAACTGGGGTCGACGGGTGCCTGTGGATACCTGTGCAAGTAGGCAGCTTTGCCGTTGCGCACTTGACGTAACCCTTGCCTTCACACCTGTACCCATTGTGTAAAAGAGGTTCTAGGTGTTCTTTTCTGAATCATTATTGAGTATATCTCTAAGTTAGATGTGGGGAGAGGTCATGTATGGTGAGGGAGGTCGCGGCTAGTGGCGCCGCTCTGGTGGCGAGAGGCGGCAAGGGGCTGTGTGTGTATCGGTGTAGTCGTCAGTCAGTTGGTGGGCCGCGTAGCCTAAGGACGCGCGCTCCTGTGTGTGATGATCATGTTGAGCCGCCCCGGGCCCCGGTGACGCGCGCGGCGTGCTACTCCACCATCACTGTGTCACCACTTACTTCACTCTCAATTAGTGTCATAATTGTTCTGCGTTATTTGAATCATGGCTTCAAGCTTCTTTTCGTTAGTGAAAGAGGAACCCGATGTTGGGCATGATATGGAAACTACGCCCGTGGCATTGCCGCCCACCAGTGTGGGTATGAGCGGCCACACACCCCCAGGTGGTGGTGGTCGGCACGTGGGCGGACCGCCTCTGCAGGCGGGGATGCCCCTCACGCCCGTGACACCCACCACCCACCAACCCCCACCTCTCCGCCGCCTCGAGATTGACCCAAACTTTGAGCCCGTGGCCCGTTCCCGCTCTAACACGTGGCCGCTGCCGTGCCCTGAGGGGTACATGGAGGGCGAGGAGCCCGTAGCGGTAGCTGCCGAGGGCCCTGTCCCTGTGGACCAGATCCGACCCCCGGGCACCATAGGCGGACCGGGCGACCCCTCGGGCGGTCCTCCCAAGAAGAACACTTCCCGCCGCAACCCTTGGGGCAACATGTCTTACGCCGACCTCATCGCCCAGGCCATCATGTCATCGCCTGAGGGACGCGCCACGCTATCCCAGATCTACGACTGGATGGTGCAGAACGTGCCATACTTCAAGGACAAGGGCGACTCCAACTCCTCTGCCGGCTGGAAGGTAGGCAGCAGGAAGAGCGTGGCGGCGGCCTAGGCGGCGCCACCTTCAACGTAGGGCGCTGTCTGCTGGCTCAAGGCCGCTCGCATCTAGGATCTCATAACTAATATGTTTTTACTTATATGCTTCATGAGCAAGGACTTCCTTGTCCAGTTATGTAGAATAAACATTAAGCATGTTTACAGCCTAAGGTCGTAGTGAGGGTCAGGGAGGTAAGTGTTTACATACCGCTACATATTTTCACAATGGGATCTTGGGAACTCACCTGCAGGGTGATCATGTAGAACATTGTGAAGGTATACATTTGGTTAATGTTCAGTCGGTAATATAACCGGATGTGTCGTACATTAAGATAACATTGGTGATGAGGCTCACTAACACCCGCTTACTGTTACTGCCACACTATTCGTTGGCAGCATTCTGTGTACATGTGTCGGTATTAACAGAGGAACAATTACCGTTTGTGTGACTTCATATGTTAAGCGCAGCGGCGGCGGCCACCGCGGCCAGCATCAGTGAATCTCCGAGATTTACAGTTAATCTGAGACCTAAGTAGTGGTGGTCGTAGATCACTACTGTGTGGGAAATATGGAAGTTTGTATGAGGGAAGAAGACACCGTATGAGGGAGTTAGCGGTGGGTGGGTCTGTACTTGCTTACTAACAGTGTAGTGAGGAGTCGTACTTGTCGTACCAGAGTGTAGATCAACAACCTCATGTGTTGGGAGCCACTTGATATTCTCTACACTACAGTGCTTGTAATACTTTATAGGGATCAAATAAGAAAACTGAAAATTCGTGGTAGTTGAGGCAAGATATTAGCAGTGTCTTGGTCCAAACCTTTCTCCATAGCTGAGGCAAATAACCATTAACTACCTGGGTCCGGCTTGACACCTTCACCCCGACCTTTTTGTTATAAGGTCGGGGGTGAGGTGAGGTCAGGGCCGGTCCACACAGCGGGGCGCTGGGGAGGGTCACCACCAACCTAACCTCCTGTGGTCCCGCCCTCACCTTACCTACACCGAGGTCTTGGTGTCCTGGGGAACGGAAACGCTTCTATATACAGTTTATTTATCTTTTTCTTATTTTATAATATTTAAAGGTATAATGAAGCTTCTGTGAGCTATGGTTGGCGCCCTTCATTGTGGCGCTGTGAGATCACATTCTTTGAGCGCTATGGTGTGTGTGTGTGAGCAATGTGGTGTGTGTGTGTGTGAAAGCACTGTGGTGTGTGTGTGAGCGCTGTGGTTAGTGTTAAGCGCTGCTGTGTTGTACTGTGTTCAGCGCTGTGATGTGTGCGTATGAGCGCTGTGTTGAGCGCTGCTGTGTTTTACTGTGTTCAGCGCTGTGGTGTGTGTGTGTGTGTGTGAGCGCTGTTTAGTGTTAAGCGCTGCTGTGTTGTACTGTGTTCAGCGCTGTGGTGTTTGTGTGTGTTGTTGAGCGCTGTGGTATGTTGTGTTTGAGCACCAAATTAATGTGTGTGTGTGATATACATTATACTACTTTATATTTAGTGAAACCTCTTTAACGGTTTAAATAGAAAGGAAAAGCTCATTATATATTTTGAGGGTTCGTTAACCGTGAACCTTCCAACCCCTCGTCTAACGGATTACATGGAAAGAGGTGTCCGTTTATGGAGGTTTTATTGTACTAAAAACACTCTGGAGGAAGCGTTAACTGTACAATAATAATAATAACACAAAACGGGTATATTTATTTTTGTCTAAGAATTTTTCTAACATTTCGAAATAAAAAAATATCTACAGTGTAAAATTATATTCGGATATTACTGTTGTAAAATAATAATAGTACCACAATGGATTTGTTTTGAATTATAAACGAATACAGAAATAAAATAATTGATGAGTGTTCAATATAGTCCACTGGTCAAGAACACGGCGCAGTGTAGAGGGAAAATTAGCGCGTATATACCTGGCAGACACAATGACACCTGTACTGTAGTTATTGTATTACACAGACGAGAGGCGCTCACTGTCAACACACACCTCTTACTAAAGGATTACTGTTTATGGCAGGTTACAGTGTTAGAAATATCGTCAGAATATTGAGAAAGGTCTTGGCTTAGTTCAGGAGGCACACACACACACACACACACACACACAATACTAATGTTTATTTTCTAATTGTATTATAGTGTTGATCAGACTCATATCACTTTATCTTTTGTTGAATGTTTCTTAACCATCATTTAGGTACAGTTGTTGTTTGGTCGATTATTTCCATTAATGCTTGTGTTGTAAAGTGCTGGTGTTAAGGTGTCCATGATTAGAACCTCCCATGTGTGTGTGTGATATAACAATGAATAAAAGAAGTAAAACTGGAAACTAAAGAAAATCATCTGATAATGGCGTTTGGGACCTTTAAATCGTTTTGTTTATGTACTGTATATATTATGGCGGCGGAGACTGTCTTGTTAACAACCACACACACACACACACACACACACACATATTTGTTACGGTGAACTGTACTAAAATTTGTCTTAGAATTAGTGATTACCAAAAATCTGTAAATTGAATTTGTTTGAGATAATACATTAAAAAATTTTAATGTTGCACTTTACTTACAGCAGGTAGTTTATTGTGCACCCCATACTCATCCTGTGAGCGGTAACACAAAAGGATTACAGAGTAGAGGTCACAAAGGATGTGTATAACAGACTCCAGTGGTCAGGATATTATGGTATTGAATGTTACAGAGTATTTCTATATATATTGTTTGTTTACTTCTGTACACAGAGAGGACTTTATTGACAACTGCCTGAGTGTGAGGTAGTATGTCTGACTGCACACTTTGTTATTACATTCCGTGAGAGGATCTAGGCAAGTGAGGGGGCGGGGTGAGGTACAAGTGAGGGGTAGGGGTGAGGGGCACAAGTGAGGGGTGAGTAAAGAGGTACAAGTGAGGGGCAGGGTGAGGTACAAGGCGGAGGGTGAGGGTAAAGCGAGGGGCGAGGTGAGGGGCGAGGGCAGGGCTACTCGGCAATGTGAGATGGTCGCAGATATTAAGAATCGCCACGGTGTCCGCTGGTGATGAGATATTGTAGAACGTGGTGATGATGGTACTGTACTGGTGGTGATGATGGTACTGGCTGGTGGTGATGATGGTACTGTATGGTACATGGCACCTGGTACCTGGTGGTGATGATGGTACTGGTGGTGATGACGGACTGTACCCGGTGGTGATGATGGTACTGTACCCGGTGGTGATGATGGCACTCGTACCCGGCATGATGATGGTACCGTACCTGGTGGTGATGACTGTACCTGGTGGTGATGATTGGTTCTGGTACCTGGTGGCGGATGACAAACTGGTGGTGATGTACCCTGGGTGGTGTGTACCTGTACCCAGCATGATGGTACACTGTACCAGGTGGTATTGCACCAGGTGATGATGGTAATCGTACCCAGGTGATGATGTATTCCTGGATGATGGTACCGTACCCGGGTGATGATGGTACTGCACCTGGTGGTGATGATGACACTGCACTGTACCTGGTGGTGATGATGGGCACTGTACCTGGTGATGACGGTACCCAGTACTGCACCCGCTGGTGATGATGATACTGTACCTTGGTGATGATGGTACTGTACCCGTGGTGCGATGATGGTAATTGTACCCAGGTGATGATGGTACTGTACCTGGTGGTGATGACGGTACTGTACCGGCGGTGGTGATGATGGTACAAACGGTACCTGGTGGTGATGATGGTAATCAATTGGTAACCTTGGTAGCGTAATTGTACCCAGGAGATGATGGCAACTGCACCCGCTGGTGATGATGGTACAGCAACCTGGTGGTGATGGTGGTAAATGCACCCGGGTGGATGGTGACTGTACCAAAAATGGTAACGATGGCACTTTACTCCAGGGTGATGATGGCAATTGCACCGCTGGTGATGATGGTACTGCACCTGGTGGTGATGATGGCACTGTACCTGGTGGTGATGATGGTACCACCTGGTGGCGATGATGGCACTGTACCCGCAATGATGGCACTGTACCCGGTGATTTCCCGAAAGCGGCCGCCGCCCGTATGGCATGCGTTAGGCGGTGCGCGGCGGGGCAGCCTGGGTCACGCTGCAGCCGCTTCCACCAAGACATTCCCTAGAGGAGGTTTTTATTCTGTTTAGGAAGCTCCTTCGTAAGAGAACTTTGTGTGTTTGTGTCCTGAAGAAGACTGTATTTGTTCAGGAATGTGTATGGTAGATACTGCTAGTTACGGGAGGAGTGTTGACGCCTTTTTTATCCAAACGTAATTTACACGAAATATATTCTTTTATCTGCCTCCTGAAGCACCAATGTCAGTGAGTTATATAACTGGTGGCGGTAGACCTGATAAAAGGGGTTTACTTCTCATGTGTGTCAATAATTCCCCAAATAAAAGTTAATCATACCAGTATCTACAACCATTCCTTCTGCGCGAGAAGAGGTAGAATATATTGGGGGGGGGTATCAACAGGTCTGGGAATATATTAAATTTGAAATTTAGATCATTGAGAGGAAATTGACACGCATGGCATCTCTCACGGGCTGGGTTGGGTTACAAGGCCAGGTCAAGTGCTCGGACATATAAAGGCATCAGAATGGCGCCCATAAGACAGACCGCGGGCAGTAGGGTGATGAAGGCCATGCACACAGGACCTACCAGTTGAGGTGTACAATAGCACTATACCGGCAGAGGAGGTCGCCGCTGTCCTGACACCTCTGCAGCTGATCATGGTTCTAAACGGCCTGTCAAAGTAGATATAACTACTGTAGTGGCTATTGCTTGGTGGAATCGTGGCTTGTTTTCACTCCTTAGTCGACACCAAACCTTGACATACGTTTTGGGAACTGTGAGTTATGTGTTAAGAGAGCCTCAGTGTCACGTGTGGCTGTGTTAAGAGAGCCTTAGTGTCACGTGTGGCTGTGTTAAGAGAGCCTCAGTGTCACGTGTGGCTGTGTCAAGAGAGCTTCAGTGTCACGTGTGGTTGTGTCAAGAGAGCCTCAGTGTCACGTGTGGTTGTGTCAAGAGA